TAACGTTAAAAACAATTATTATAACCTGTGTATAACGTAAACAGTTTCTAAATTTAATTAATTACTTAAGAAACAAACATCACCCAGATAGCACATGATGCCTTGAAGACGGCTTAATTTGCTATAATAACAAAAGGAAAGAAAATTATTATAACAGATAGCTATAATAATAATAAATAGCTACAATAATAAAAAGAGAATCACTGTTAGTCCTGTTATCTGTGATGTATTATAATTTATAATTCATAAATTACACTCTGTTAAAAATAAGCAAGTGTCCGGATAATTTTATGCTATATGAATGTTGAATATAATTTTTTAGTATGATGCCCCGTTTCTGAGATAATCCGTTCCAGAACTGGAAAATCATTTAACACGTACCTACATCCTTGCGCATGAGTAGCAGGATACTCATCGAATATGCAGTAAATGTTACAAGGTATTGTGAAATTGCTGAAAGCCTGCAATAAATATTATTTTGGAAATATTAAAGCTCGATGCACACAACGCTTATGTTACTATGAAGTAATGAAAGTATTCTAAAATATATAATGTTTACGAAACATCACATTTTCTTCAGACAGGTCAGGTGTCTTTATACATACGTGCATGAATAGACTGCGAATGTTTATGCTAATATAGAATTTTATGGATTAATTTCTCAAAATTGGCCGCAAAGGAAATTTTATTTGTCGTATTAAAGGTTCTAATAGGTTTGACATAAAAAGAGGACGGAAATAAACTTCCTGAAACTTTTTATTGTACTCGATTTCAAACAATCGATATTCTATAAATGCATAAAATCCGCAGTCTACTTATGAGCGATTTCGTACATGTTCGCGCTGCCAATAAGTAGAGACCGAGTGTAATGAACAGACGAGTTAGCAAAATTCTTATTCAATTGTACGCGTATCCTGCAGATTTTTAAATTTGACTATCTCGGATACGAAGTATCATACAACAAAATGTTTTATTCCATATTTTCGATTTAATTTTGTATGTAGAAATACTTCTTTGCTCGGTTGCACCACCCATTCTGGGGCACTCTCTATAATTCTGACTGCAAAACATTATGTACTTAACGTTTGTATTGGCCTTTACAATAATAATAATATTTATTAAGCTAATAACAGGTTTTGGTATAGGAAGTGTAAATAGAAATTGTACAAGCTATATTAGGATACATAATAATAGACAATTTTTAGACTTAAATTGTTAATTTTTCCATTAGAAATTTTGAGTAAGCATTTTATCATATTAATCGTGTTATATACAGCGTGTTCCATTTAAATCGGTGCACTTGAATATTTTTGAAACTGTTGATGATATTAAAAAATATTGCAGACAAAGATTTAATGGTTTCGAGGGGCACGTAATGTGATGTGTAAGTAGTTCTTTCACAGCTGGAAGTGTAAAGGAGAAATGAAAGTTAACCTTGTTGTTGTAAATGGAATTCTATATTTTGTATTGCATCAATCGATGCAGCTGGTCATTTCCAACAGAAAACTAATTTGTGTCGAAAAGTCATTAGTTTAAGAAATATTTTAACCATTTATAGAAGCCAGGTTGACTTTCCTATCTTATTTATCCCTCTAAGGCTCCCATAAAGTTATGCTTCTCCTGCAAAAAAAAAAACATTTTTATAAAATTTTCAATACATCAGCAATATTTCAGGTGATAAAGTTATATGAAACACCCGGTATACTCGAAAGTAGTAGCAGCCTATTTCGATCAGCAGTACGAAAGAAGCTCTCTGAATCTTCTGGTGGTCCCGTTTCGCATTCTAATCGCTGCGGGCAGCAATTGGGTTAATTGGGGAGGGGAGCCGAACATTTTTTTTTGAAGGGTGGTGATACAGCATCGTTCACGAGGAAAACCGGTTCCAGTGGCTCTCCCGAAGTAATTTCGCATCAGCTTTTTCCCCTTCGGTTGAAGTTTTTAACAAGTATGCTCGAGGAGCGTGCCCTCATCGACGGTCACGTGCCTAACTATCTGCCAGTTAAAAGATTTCGATTCGGCCGTTCTCTTTTCACCGTGGTCCTTTCACGCGCGCACGAGTGCTTGAATTCACGGTGATAATAAGCTTAAGCTTTTGTAGGCTGGCAAAGTTAGTTAAGTGGATGCTCGTTAATTGATCCAGAAATGAACGTACTAAACGATGCGCTTTTTTTTTTCAAGAATCTTCCGCTAGGTCGATTTCTTTTGTTGGGAAGAAGAAAAGAATGCCTACGATGCATTGTGTTTGTGAAGGACGTCACATTCAGTTGTTTAATACAGCGATTCCTCGATGAATGCGTCACGAGCAACGGCGTTATTCCCACCACTGGGGGGTCCCCCTCTGAGATAAATCAAAACAGGGTAAATAGAAGGTAAACAGAGTCTTGGCTTTGTCTGAAATAGAAATTTATGAAGGACTGAAAACCTTTCCGCCTTACCATGAATGCTCCAAAGCGTACCCGAGCGCGTCGCTCTCATCGAGACATTACTGTACTGGAAAATTCTGTAAATTTGTGTCATTTCGTGGTCTGTTGTTGACAAAAGACGTTTCTCGTATTGATGTACGATTTAAGGTAACAAAAGTACGGACAAATATGGAACAGCTCAAAGAAACGATACAGAAATGATATCGTTCCGAAGTAACGTAGTTATTTTTATCACAGAAAAATAAACCATTCGTATTATAACGCTTTTCTAGAAAATACTCCTTTTAACAGAACTTTGAGAGCTCTTATTAGAACTCTAAATGTGGTTATCAAAGGTACATGTGGAAAATTTTTGAAAAAAATACCATAGGTCATAAGTTTTATATTTATTATTGAAGGGACTATTGATCCCATTTCGACTAGCAACTTCGAGAGATCAGAATTACTTACTGTCCATAGAAGTGGGAATACTGAGAAGAAAATGAAAAATAATCTGCTCAAATAGCGATAGGTATTACATATCAGTGTCAGCATAGAATAAATTTTGTTCATATCTCAGTTTATTCACTTGTAAAGTTACGTGTATATTCCAAAAGTGAAGGACACCGAACGTATTATTGTTTTGCAATTTATAAAGAATTGAAACTGAAAACTTATAATTAACGTTAAAACGTAAATGAATTTGAACCAAGTCTCTAGAATAATTCTACTGGTACATAGAAGTAATCATACACATTTGTATAAGAACTGATATGAAGTTCTATGATATTAAACAGAGTTCCATTTATACATTTAAAATAATACCTACTCAGTATGAGTAATATATGTTGTCCCCATTATCTTCGAGGGTCTGTGGACTGTTCATCGAAACACAGAATTTAAATATTAAGTGTATAAAGATCGTGTATGACCAATTTGCATGTATATATTATAGTAAGGTACTGAAACTTAAGCCTATTAGACCCCGACATTTGCTTCGAAGCAGGAATCCGATTGCACTCTAATGGATGCCCTTGTATCCGCGCTCCTGTTTCTCCCAGTGCAGAAATTTGCAAGTCTCTTTGTTAACATCCGTACTGAATTTTCAACCGTAATCTCTCAAAGCGTTTCGTCTTTAAGGTACACATATAACTGTTCGTTGCACTGTCGTTTTGTCTGAGTTATTTACGTAAATTGCTCGATGGAAATATAAACTGTACATAAGATAATTATTCGGTGCACTCCGAATAATTGTTTTTATACATTTTATGTCCCCACAACGAAAGTGATTAAAGAAATAACTCAAGACAAAAAGTCTATACTTTTTTAAACAACACTATAACTACCGAATATGAACGTGTTTCTGTTTCTGTCATGTTGGTAGAAAGGACAGCTTGTTTCAAATATGCAAATTGATAAATTAACGGAATCTTTTCACTTGTGTATTGCAATAAATAATGTTAATGAAATGTTCGTAACCTAAGTATCAGTAATATTATACGGTACCTATATTTCTATTTATAACGGTTACGACATTTGCCCTCTATGAAGAAAAATATAAGTAAGCTAGAAATGTAAAAGCCACTCGTAACAATAAAATTTATCTAGTATATAGTAAAATAAAATGTACACTGTCCTATCAGGCTCAGAGTTTTTGTACTGGGTTGGCCAAAAAGTAATTTCGGATTTCTGCGGTACATGATGCTGTTTCCGTTTTTCAATACAAAACACTGTTTTCAACTAGAAAATATATACATATCCTGAAAGTTGACACTTCAACAAAATTTTTGAAAAAAAAACCATCACGATTGCTTTAAATTTTCTTGAACTGACCTTGTTTTGAAAATGAGTGAGGACATTGTATACTTTCAAGCAATTATGCTTCTTTATTTCTGAAGAAGGAAAAACGCGGTACAAACAATAAAAAATGAGTTCCTATAGGTACATGCTGATGGTGTTGTAAACGAATGGAAATAACAAAAAACCTAATTTCTCAAAAGTACCTACACTTTTTCGTCGCTCATTTTCAAAACAAGATCAATTCTTCAGAATATGTAATATTTTATTATTTGGAAGCAGTGTTTTGTATTGAAAAACGAAAAAAGCTTCATCTACTTACTTTAAAAATCCGGGATTACTTTTTGGACGAAGTTAATATTTTTTCACAAAGTTAATATTTTTACTGGAAAATCAAATACGCTCAGTCTTTTAATAATACATGGTTTTACTCATCGACATTGGCGTCATTTCACATTAACCTATGACGATCGATGACGCCCCAGTTGTGTCATGTCAGTGTAAACTTTTAGAACGATGACACAACACTGTCGTTATTTGAGTGTCAAATGGTACTGTTCAGAAATTAAAAATTCTTGAATTGTGTTACATACACAGCAAAAACCATATACTGGAAATAATACTTAGATAATTCTTGACAAAAGCAGGCCACTTCTGAAAAGATACGAAACCAGCTGGTCGTCATAGTGTCAATTTTAGATTTATACTAACATGTTTTTGACAAAATAGTGACATACGTGAAATAGTATAACAATTGTTTTATTATATCGTGTATATAGTATTTTTCGTTTTCTTTTGTAGTTACGAAGTTCGGTCCCGCAAAGGTGACGCCTGCCGAAGAAACTCCTAAGGAAGAAACGACGACGGAAACAACGAAAACGTAAGTGCCTTTTTATATTTCTTAGTTGGAATAATTCTAATAAGAAAATTTCAGGTTATAAATTTAGATGTTTCAATGACTATTGTATGGTAGTGCATACTTTGTTTATTAAGTGTTTATATATTAGAAAATTCGATAGAAACACTTAATTTACGCTTCGTTAATACACATTACTCTGAAAAAATAATTTAATACCTATTAATGTTTCACACATTAATAATACATTCTTATAATATATGTATATACATATATTACAAAATTATAATGTAAGGTCTAAACTTCGTCTTATTAATGCTTTTAATAATTTTATTATTCGTATATTTTTAAGATCGCAGAGAGGAATTATTTTTTAACAATTTCCAAAAGTTCGATTATCTCGTATAAAAGTGTTTAAACGCAGTAACCGAATGTTAAATAAATTTAGGAAGAAACGTTTCATCCGAAAACTTGTTTATTTCCGTCCTAAAATTATCTTCTGTTGCACCGTTGCGTTAATAACGACCAATACTTCCGACGCATTATGCTCGTGGCGACTAATTAACACGTTGACTGCCACAGTGAAAAATTCCGCACGTAGCCAGACACACTTTATTCCCCTTTTTATGCCATAAATCGTCAAAAATATAACCGTATACTTAATACAGGATGTTGATTTGGTATTAAATAATACTGAGATATTAATTTTACACAAAAATTTTGTAACAGTATTTAAATAACTCAGCCTCTTTGTAATGTTTCAAGTCCGAATTATCTCGTACTTGGCAGTCAACGTGTTAATCTTTGATGAAGACAGATATATGCCTATCCTTTGCACGCCATCTGAAAGCAGTAATTACGTATAATTGAATTTTCAAATCGAGATGTTCGTGCAGCCCGCACATAAGCGCGTATCAAAAATTTTACAAATACATACGACAAAATGCCAAAGCCATTCACGTTTAAATTAACAATTTATATTTTTATAATTAATAGTTTATGTTTGAAATTCAACGATGAGAGAAAACAAAAATTTTTATTCGTATAGAAATTAAAGCAAATGTGAGATAACAAGAAAAAATTAAATAAAAATAAAACTTCCATCATTTATATAGAAAAAATTGTACTATTTTTTCTGGTAGGAGGATCGTTTGAAAGTTGAAAGTAAGAGTTTTTGGGTTTCGAGTAATAATAAGGCTTTATTTTAGCTGGAGTTTCAATGTTTATTGATACGGTTAAGTTGGAGATACAAAATTAGTTCTATACCGATCACATGTTTTTAAACCAATTGTTAAAAATATTATGTCCGTGAAAATTGACCAGGCCAGATTGTTACTTTTTTTAAAGTTGTACCACAAATAGATTAAGCAGAATTGTGTACAATAAGAGACAAAAAATAATTAAAATTAGCTAATGATTATAAAAAATTAACATAACATTACAGATTTCTGTTTAATTGGCTTAAGACAACATTATTTCTTAATCAATAGGTACTCAACATGATCTAAATTGTCTTCTTTTAATTAGCGCAACATAACGTTATCTTCTTAATGGGATCAATTTATTATTATAATTTATTGATTATTTGTTATCAAAGCGCTGTCTCTATTATTTAAAACGTATAAGCTCTGTTACAACCTACCCATGTTACTTTCAATCTCTGTTTCTCCTACCGTTAGAGCAAAACATCATTAATAATAACATTAAAGTAATTGATATCTGATGTAATAATTTCAGTGTCAATAATAATTAATGAATTATGATGTAGTTTTGTAAACTACAGCGGAGAAACATAAAATTGTGATAATCAATTTTCATTATTCGTATCTTCCTCGTACAGTTGCGCCGGATGGAAATACATACATATTGTGTAGTTCGAGCTATCAGAAAGTTTACGCGAATTAAAGAATGTTATTTTACGAACGGTGTTCCCCGTGCTCGGCGCACCGTCAAATTGAAACAAATCGTTCGCAGGAGACTCAAACACGAAAGTTCAGCCAACTTTAACTCGGACGTTTCAGGAAGTCGAAGACCGGGGACGAGTGCAGGGTATGCCGGAAGTCCATTGCACCTGAAGAAGCCTCGAGAATTTGTTGCGAGTGTCAACAGAAAGTTTGCGAGGACTGCGCCTGCTATTCGACGACAACGAATTCTGATGATCCGGTAAGACTTCTTGATGTTACTTACACTGTTTGCTGACTCTACCAAGTCCTCTGATTACTATAATAATACCGACGACCATTAATTACATTAACATAATAATTTCACCCTCAAAAGATATCTTCTGATAGTAAAACGGTTTATATGTATAGCTTTGTGTTATCGACAGCACGATAAGACTTATGTAGAAAGTTCATTTATTGCAGTCAAATGAAATATAGCGTATCCATAAAGTGCTTATCTATTTTATAGGAGTTGTTGAGAACAAAACTCCAGGTGGATGTTGTTAAAGGGATATTTTAATAGACAAGTTGAATCATCTCTTCCACTATTTCCACCAAAAAAAATTGGATTGCTATGATTGGGGCTTTATTAAATATCATGTGCAAAGTATTGAGAAGTTGCAAGTGTCGCAAATGTTTTTTCGTGAAACAGCTGACCGATTTATGGTGTACAGGTATTGATGATGCTCATATAGAATCCTATTAAGTGATGTTTTGTGCCTGTTCATGGCGATTAGTGGACGAAATTGTTTGATTTGTACATTAAAATAGTCCTTTAACATATCTCCCTGGAATTTGTTCCTTTTTCAACAATTTTTATAAAATAGTTAGAGACTATGTGCACACCCTGTATATGAAATATAAACGTGTATGTATTTTTGATCCTTCATTAGGTTAGTGTATATGAAATTGTCTACGTTTCCCAACTAAAGAACTTAGAATTAAAAAAGAAGAAACCCAATTAATAAATGTGAAACTATTGCATATACATTTATCATATCATATTTCTTCCATATGAGTATACAATAAACTATCTATGTTCCTCAACTGAAGGATTAGGAAACAAAGAACAATAAACCCAAGTAAGAATTGTTATAGGTCAATTTTTTCAATTTGATGGTAATACTTAGGAGACTTAATGACAATCATTTTGCTGCAATGAATTCTTTGTTAAAAGATAGTTTCTACTAGAATCTTAAACGAAGTTTAGCTTACTGAGAATGCACATAACCATTAATTTAGCTTAAGCAATTTTTAAGTACTGTTAAATGCAAAACAAATACAATTAATAATGGTTATCGACAATTGTCATTTATAAAAGTGTAATGAAACGTACCAACCATTAACACGTTCCGTGCCAAGCCGTTTTTACATGACTTTTCATTCAGGCCACATGATGTTTTGACCAAAGACTCTGATATATTATTACACAATATTTCATTAGATCATCCATCAATAAGTAATTTGCTTGTATATAGTAGTTACCACATCGTGCACCATCCGTGGTACACGGGGCGATGTAATCAGTTTCAACTTTTTAGTTAGAAACAAAAACCTGCCGCGTTGAAATTTGTTCCGTGAAAAACAAGGGAAATAAAATATTTAGCCATAGATAAGTAATAATACTTTATAGATGTATATCTCCCCCGGTTTTACTAGAGCACTAGTGAGTTGAGGGCTAAGGCACTGTACATAGAGTTGAGTATGTTCATCCGTCATTTTGGGTCCTCCGGAGAGAGAAAGCAATGGAAAGTTTGGACCCTCTGTAGACTTATTAGTGCTACTCTATAGTTTTATTAGGACATTTTGCAGCGCCCTAGGTGACAAGAAACTGTAACTAAAACGAGTGAATCGTTACATGTAATTATTAATTATTGTACCCTCACGAGCAAACTCGGCTTCCGTTAGGGAAAAAAGTGGCGTTGGAAAAGGGCCTCCTAAAATTTGGTATCGGGAATTATTGAAATTTATGCGAAATTAACATTCGATTTAAGATTTATTTCAGTACTTGAAATAAATTTACTGAGTGGTAGGGGGCCCTTCCCCTACGTCAACTATTCCCCTAGCGGAAGCCGACTTTGCTCGTGGGTGTACATATAACAATTAAACAAACTTACTTGGTCTGTACTGCATTTTTTATAATGCCTCTTTCTTTTGGTGGTAATATATTTTTCAGTCTTAAACTTATCATAAAATATATGTTTTAGATGTATTTAATAAATATGCCAGCGTGTACCATCGCTGGTATACGTGGCCTGAATGGAAAGTTTAACGTGTACCATTGATGGTACACGTCCCACGGAACATGTTAAAGCGGATGTTTCATATACGCCGATCATAATATTATAATACACCTGCGAACAGTAAATCTAACCAAGGCGAATTAACAAACCGAAATGTATAGAAATTTTCAAGGAAATCAACGTAAAAATTCGTCGCATATCTTTTTACAGAAGAAAATAAACGTGACAGCTGCTAACCTTTCTGTATGTAGTATGAAAAGAAATCTTTCAATTTTTCCATAAAATTTGGCTAGTTGTCATGGAAGTAGTACTATTGTTATAACTTCAACATTTCTTTTTGTTCACCAAACGCGAAATCGTTTCGTTTGTGATTAATAATAGAATTTAAAAGAACAGGAACATTTGAAATACGTATTACGTTTATCAATTGTCGATATATTCTTTCAGGCATGAGAACTTTTTTATGAAAAACGTACTTTATTTTACAATACCTGTAAGTAATTATATTAATTCGAAATAGTAGTCTAATTTTTAATTTTTAAAAATGTTTCTTGTTGTGTACATCGCTAGCAGCTCCTTGAAAACCAATTAATTTATGAATTAGTAAATCAGCATTTTAATATATAAATTAAACACAGTTCCGAATGTTTTTTTGAAATGTGGACACAATCGTTTATTGATATAACGCAAATGAATTACCTACTTATTAATGTCTGTTCATTTATGTCATTGGTATTATGAATTATAGAATCTTCCAATATTGTAAACGAAAATTAACATGAAAGTAAACATGGTAGGTTGAAATTATTTTAAATTATTCAATGCTGAAAAATACAATCTTGTAAAATGTAAACGTGTTAGAAAACCTGATAAATGTAGATATAACGAAAGTGTAGTAAAACAAACAGGTAATAATAGAACATAGATAAACAGATCGGAAAGACAAGATATGTATATAAATAGTAAAGTAGACACGTAAAGCAGATAGAATTAAATGTTTGGACGTTGAAAGGAAGCTACTGAAGGACTTGATACTATCATAAAGGAAGTGTAAAAAAGGGAGTTATGAATATTACGCGGAAGATATTGCAAAGTTGAAAATCTAATTATTTTAGAAAAGTGACTTAAACGATCTTCATTAATAGAATTTACAAACTGTTTTATCCTTAAGTAGAATATTAAATACTAGTAGTAGTAGTAGAGTGTTGAATTATTCAATCAACCGTAACACATAGTTTAAAGTATAAAACCACGATATTCAAATGGATTCGTTAGTTTTATGGAAGTTTATAAAAATATTTCACACTTTATTAGATAAATAAATCATTGGATTAAGTATTCGATCAGCAGAAATCTAATCTTTATATGAATATTATCATACAATTAGGGTTATTAATTTGATGTAATGTGGAGATATATCGTCCCTTCATCGCCATTTTTAATTACCCTTGTCTCTCAGGAGGCATTCAAATGCAAGGCAATAGACTAATAGATTACGATGCAATTTATTCTAATCTCGTTCCCCTATTTTCATTCTCCTTCATTTATGCGCTACCTTAACCTTCTCTCATTATTCCTTCTCAGGGTTTTTATTCTCCCTTCTCGTCTAATATTCCACATTCATTTCTGACCCACTTATTTTCCTTCGTCCATAATATCTTTAATGGAAAATTATTTTTTATTCTTTAATAACACATTTCCCTTCTTCTTCGTTCAGTAGTATTTTCTTCGTAATTAAAACCCGTCGACGACAATTAAAAAAGAACAATTTCGATAAGTACCATATTAACTACTCACCTATACACAATGTCAAAAAAGAGTATTCATGCATTGCTGTCTTTTACCAACAATTAACTGTTTTTAGTGCAATACCAGTTAAATAATATTCTTATGAATTTATACCTACTTTACTAAAAAGCACAGTAATCGAAAACAAATAATTTCTAACCAAGTATTACGGTGAAAATAGTATCATGAATTGAAAATAATCAAAGTCACTGGTGCATGAATACGCTTTCCTCCCACTGCACATACAATGAACAGTAAAAGTATTCCTACGATCCATTCAACGACTCTCCATACACATAAATATTTTACAAATATGATGTTAAACTGAAGAAAAATGTACATGTAATTGAAGGTATGCCTCGAATATCTACAAGTGCAAGCGAAAAAAGAGAAACAATATATTCACAAATTATAAGAATTTTACTACAACGCTTGAATATGGAAACCTCTTGTGCGAATACTTCCATCACTCACTGTAATTAATATACGTCGATTTCTTCTATTTCGTTCAAACAATTACATATACACGCACGTGTGATAAAAGAACGTATTTTATTTTAGATTCAGAAATCTTCTGGTGAATAACTTAATAATGAAAATTTATAAAAAGACACAGTAAGCCATAAATGACGAGTTAAGTTGTCTACTAGGTTAAATATATTTACATTGATTTCTATTATTCCCAATTTTTGTATTGTTCTCTTTTTGTTCTTTTTTTTCCAATTTTTGTACCTACCCTGTTACTTTCAGTAAATCAATATAGTTTGTTTCCATTATATCCTTTCTTCGGGAAAATAATGAACCTTCTCTTCATAAAATATTTCACCAGGAAACGCGAAGATTAATTAGAGTTTGCTCGTATGTGTCCCAGCGGTACTGAGACTAGCCTTCGTCACTTGAAGAAGATTAAACTAGGTGTTATAGATTGATACACTCGCTATTAGCTTGGGAAAATTTTCTTCGTGTTGATATGCATTGTACTTCCGGTGTACTAGAAAAAATAAAGATTATGAAAAGAATTTTTACATCTACTGACAGAAGCTAAGAAACACACAAATTAAGTATGTAATTGTTTTTAAGAGATGGCAGAAAAGTGTATTCACTATGTAAGAACGTTAAAAAGGGACAAAATCAACATACATTGGTAACGTATAAACATGAACAACAAATATCAGATTTTTAAGCAGATTCAGAATAGACCATACGAAATTCTGACATCCCCTTTGGTTTTTAAAATAAATTCTCTAGTTTGTCACATATGCAATTGTCAAATAACTACTAAACATATTCTTTTGATCGGTCTCAAATACTTATAATCTCGGGATATACTATAAATTATGGTAACTTTAACGTATCAAACACACACACTTGTCGATGTTGACGAAATTTATATGGGAGGTAGTTTAGGGAAAAATATTTGATATGTATATCCCTTATATCGACAATCGTCCATATTGAAGGGGTGAAAACAGCCCTCTGGGTTGGAAACATATTTTTTGGAATATCGCGGGAACTCGAAGGTATAGGAAAGAAACGTTCCTTTTAAATTATCTGCTTTAGAATGGGAAATTTAGTCACATAAATAATTTTTTTTTTAGAAATCGCTTTTATAAATGACATATTATGATAACCTTAGGTTCAATTATGTAAAGCTTCCGTACGGTTCTCGTTCAGTTGTATTTTTAATAAAGGTCTTAAGGACTGGTCATACGGTCAAATAATTTGCACAAACTGAAAACTGACTTGTGCATTAACATTTGCGAAAGCAAATCGTTGTGTTTACACAGAAGCTAACGCCCATGTCTAAATTGTAAATTTTCTGAGTTTTCGAAACAGAATCTGTAAGTTCATCGAACATGTTCGTCACCTTGTGAAGTCTACATATGTATACAGGTCTCCCACGATAAGTGCGCTTTTAATATAACTACTAAACAGTAGGTGATAGAAACAAAATGTAAGAAGATTTGTATCCTGATCACTGTAAACAAATTTATTATCGTCAATTTTTCAAGGCCACACTAAGGTCATTTCGCCTTTTTGAAATGGAATGCTATATTTGTGTCAAGGTCATTGAAAAGACATACGCGGAACTTGTTTTTGATTTCAGTATTTTGATAATACCAAAACAAAGATACAGGATTCCACTAAAAGAAACATGGGATGACTTATTATAACCTTGAAAAATTGAAGGTAAACAATTTTTGTTCACAGTGACATTTTACATGATACATGATGACAAAAGTCTTCTTACATTCAAGTTTCCTATCACTTATTATTCAGTAGTTACATCCAAACGGCACTTATCGTGAGACATTCTGTGGAATTTCCATCCAGAGGAATAAAGCTTTAACGAAAATCTTTTCAGTCGTCTTGGCGTTGTAGCGTCTGCCGACGAAAACTCGCGTCTCGGGACCAGCCAATTGTGACGCAGGAGTCGACAGATTCACTGTTGGAAGTCCAGGTTTTGGACGCTCTCCAGAGGAGGCACAGCGACGCGAGGCTTGGTTTTCAGAGCGGAAGTCAGTTCGGTGGACTTGGTTCCGGTTTAGCGCCGCCGAGAAGCCCGGAATTGAGGAGGCACTCGGACGTGTCACCTGCTAGTCTGAAGGAACTCGAGAAGGTGAGTCAGCTCTACCAGATACTCCAATATCACGCTTCTCCAGTATGTACCTATCTTTCAACAGTGAAGCTGAATACATTGCGAGAATGATTGGCTCGATCGTATTGAGTGCATGCAAAAGTAATGGCCGTCGTATTAAACCCCTTCAGTGTCGAATTAATTCTAAAGGATAGAAAAAATATGTTTATATGTATACAGGGTGTAAGAAAAGCGTTGTAAGTAGTGTTGTTAAAATGAGCCTCGAGTCTTGAGCTTTAACAGCTCGAGTCGCGGTTCAAACGCTAAAGGCTCGAACCCTCAAGGTTCGAAGCTCGAGTCGTATAAATTGTATGTATTAGTGAAGTGATGTACAGAGCTTGAGTTTTCGAAGCCTTAAAACTTAACCTAAAAGTTTTCAGTTTTTAATCTAATATTACACGAATCTCAAGCTTTTAAAGCTTCAAGGGGGAATAATCCAAAAGCGTCTAGAAAAGCGTGGTTTTTGTAAATTAGTTCTACAACACCCAAACCTCATTAAACTATTACTGATAGGGTGATCAAATATATATATTTTGGACAATACGTTAAATTTTCTTTTATTACAAAATACGTATATTTGAGCAAGATATACGAGCTATAGGATGTTACGCGTCGAACAAAATAGTTTCTCAATTTGTTCACGGTTCATTGATCTGAGAGACATTTGTTGGGACATTTTTTTCGTTATTCACGTGAATTTTTACTTACTATTTTAGTAGAATATTTTCGAAAGATTATACTTTGAAAGTATATATAAAAAACGTAATTTTTTCCAATCGTCACTGTGTCATTCCACATTAAGTCTGAAGCTTTAAGGCTCAACCCTCTAGAACCCTTAAGTGTTAAATAATGGAATTTACACTAAATCTATAATATTATACTTTATACAGTGTTTAAAAAATACAGCCATGATTGCAAATACATGAGAGATTGATACTAAGAAAGGGAAATGAAAAATGAAACAAAATAACCATTGAATAGTAGACGAAATAAAACATTGCTAAAAATTTGTCTGTAATGTTCAAAATATAGTATTATCGACTGAAAACATACTCGTATGCCGTGGGAGTCATAGATTACCGGCAACAAGATTAATGTACTACGCATGATAAGTTTGCACAATACATATAATCATATTGTGTAATATATTATTATATGATTCTAATGGGCAATCACTCTTTGGCGCTGAAGACAAAACCAGCAGAGACCCGAGCCTTGAAGCTCGAGCCTTCAGCTTCATATAATTTTAGCCTTAAAGACTGACTCTTTAAGGCTAAGCTTTGTAGCTTCAAAGACTCGAGCTTTATACAACACTAGTTGTAAGTCCCTGAAATGGGTCATTCTTGAGATGATTTGGAACAAGTTCTTCCTTAGCTAAAATGTTATCTGAGGCTTTATTAACAAGATACCGATCAATCATAGCGTGAATCTACCGGCCGAGCTATGATTGGTCGGGGTTTACTGCTAATATCTCATTAACACAGCCTGGAATATCATTTTTGTTAAGGAGAAACTTGTTTTAAATCACCTCACGAGTGACCCATTTCAGGAACTTACAACACTCTTGTTAGACTCTGTATATTTTACTTTATTTAGACTCAAGTGTGATTAATACAATTTTCGGTAATCTTTTTTATTTGTATAAAGAAGGAAATGTTCACAATTATGCACAAATCTTTTCAAGCGTCATAGATGAAATTAATTATGTCCGTATTAAGTAGTTACCACATTTTTGTTTTTTTTTCTTGTTTCTGTACATTTTTTTTTACTTATTAAGATATTTTATTGTTCCTTATAAAACTTTTAAAAAAACAATCTTTGTGCCCTGTAATATAGAAGTGGATTTTACATTTATCACAGTGAAAATCTCCATGGTGACTTAATTATTAAATATCCCAGGAACCGATAAACACAGTCGCATAAATTTTAGATTATGTTTGCAAACGCTGCCAGTATTAGAAAACCAACAGTAAGAAATAGAAGTTGGTTGTTAGTTCTCTTAAAAAATATTTAAAACGTATGTGCATAATTATGCCCGTGGAGTCTGAAGGAGTTAAGTTGGTACTTTAGTTCTATTTTGTTTTATCGATGGAAAATTTAGCTTCTGGTACAGAAATAGCAAAAAGATATGGAAACTGGGGGGATTAGTTTGAATATCAAATGCATACTTACTATCCAATATCAAAAATGATTTTCGACGGTAACACGGCCACTACTTTTGCATTCGCCTAATATTTACTGACACAGATAAATGATTATAAATTTGAGATAATCTAAAGGGTGAGACAGATCCAGTCACATAACTATAATAACTTGAACGTAATAATTCTTTCAAAGTTCATTTCTGTAGTATTTTCTGCGTCAACTAACGAAGAGTATGAATCTCCTTGAACGTTATTGTCTTAAATGTTACAATTAAATATTAACAATATTAATGAAATTTATATCCTTTGTTAATTAATATGGGAAATGCTAAAAAAAATTAATTTTCAAAGAATTATTACGGTCGAGTTGTTATAATTTTGTCTGGTACTGTGTACACTAAACAGAACTTTACTAAAACAAGGTATTATTACAATTGGTCTTACAATCTTGATGATTATAATTTGTATACGAAGGATCTGTTTGTCGAGAAAAATGTAAACGGGATATGTGAAGTGATGAAATCAGGAAAATTAAAAATGTGTTGTTTCTTTTAATGATATTGGGATTTTTGCATAATAAATGTCGCTTTGGAACTACGTAGTTTGAATGATTATAACTTATCTTAGAAAGATTTTTTCTCAAAGTACATTCTATCTCAGTTGACAGGGCAGGCATTTTCATGACTTTTTATATTTTTGAGTTAAAACTTTTATATGTTTGCTATATTGTTATACAGACTCCTCTTGATTATCGTTGTCAAGCGTAGGTATATTTCGTTGCCCCTCCGCTTTCGTTGCCGAGGCTCAGGCTTCGGGCAAAAAACAAATTTACGGGAGTTTATTAAAGTTTAAGAAAGTCCCGGCGCGGACGCGAATTCGGGACGATAATCGAGAGGACTCTGTACTACAAAAATAAGCGACCCCTCTGGAGCCTAAAAATCGGCTTCCCGTCCTCTACAGGTTAAGGATTTCAAGATGGCTTGAATAAGACACGTTCCAAAGCCATATTTATTATGAAACAAATCTAGTACAATATCTTGTATTGAGTTATAGAAATCAGTCGTCAGAAAATTATAACTTTTGTATTAAATCAGATCGTAGTATTAATGCGGGAATTATTATTGTCAATGACAACAGGAGAAATCACCTTCTAACAAAAATAATATAAATCAAAAGAAAAGATGGTCTGTTTTTGCGTCAATAAATGTTAGTCTCCAATTTATCATAAGCAGTGTATTCATTCTCTTGACATTTCCAATAACACTGTTCAACACGTAAAAAATTTTGCAATTTTCAATAGGCATTTCTAAGTGATCTTTGTGACCTGAATACAAATCTGCAAACCGTTTCTTTCCGGTAGTTTCAGTTTTTGAAAAAATCGATTTATTTACATTGCATATTTTCAACTTTGAAACTGTATTGTGCATTTACAGTAATAATCAATATCATTTTGATGGGTAAAATTCAGAGAATTATTTCGTGTCAAAAGAAACCGAATAATTATTACTGCAAAAGTACAACACAGCTTCAAGAAGGAAAATATGCAATTGAAAAAAAAATCGATTTTTTCGAAAACTGGATGTGCTGGAAAGAAACGGTTTGCAGATTTGCATTCAGCTCATCAAGATCTACCAGGATTGCATATTGGAGGTTACAAAAACGAAAAAAAAAAGGAAAATTTGTTGAACACTGTAATCAGATTAGAAGAAACATGAACGTTTTCACAGCTAGTTACACGTTTGCAGTCGAAAATGAAAAATTATCAGTAGTCACGCTTTCTCCGTTTTGGTCGTTTGCCAAGGAGTACATACGCGGCACGTTTACCGGCGACCATTTTATTTAGTCTGTATGTCGACATCGGCTATTTGTCTTGCAGTGTAGTTCACCGCGAGTGGACGCATGTTTGTATTTGTCGCAGGGTGTGTTGTGCTTGATAAATACGTTTGACCATGTTTTCATTTTCTGTCGTGAAAAGAAAAGGTTCGAGAAACAGCAGTAACAATGTCGAACCACAAATTACACTTTATAGGTTTCTGCTATAGGTAACAAACATTTGAATTAATTTGTAATGTATAAACAAGCACGTTCCAGCGGGGAACAAAATAATACAGTATAATATCAATGGCAGTAATGTGTTCCAATCTGAGGTTTTTATACGTCAATATAACAACACTTTTGTGAATCATATTAATATACATATGTATTTCGATGACTGTATTAGTTATATTTGTTATCTTTAATTATAATACAGTAATATTGGTAAAAACTTTTAGAAGTGATTGACATAATATCTGCATAAAGAGGAATACCTAATTTCTAAAAACTATGATTTATTAGATACTTTCAAATCATACTTACAATGAATAATAAAATTTTTAAAAGACAGATAAAATATTAAATTACCTTAAAATAATCAAAATCAAAGATAAAAAAATTACAGTACAGTAATTGTGTATTTTGTAAAAAGTAAATATGTCTAATGCAATAGAAATAAAAATATTAAAATTATATTATAATGGTTATACAGGGTGTTAATAAAAAATGTGGGACATTTTCACATTCTACATGCCAAACTAACACGAAAGTCAAGAATCACGAAATTGCGTTCGAGGCTACGATTCCGAGTTATCCATTGTTTAAAATCTGAGCAAAATACGTGTGATTTCGTCATTCTTAATTTTTGTCTTACAAGTTTGGTGTGTCGAATCCATCCTGTGACAGAGTCCCATATTTTTGTAAACACAATGAGTATTTCATAAAAAGTAAATATATTTAATAGACTGTAGTTAAATTAATATACTTCCTTTTTAATTAAATAGTGTTGTGTACCTGTAGGAT